GCACACGGGGCTTACTTTTATTTAAAAACAGATTATATCTTCAACCGTTGATTTTAAACAGTTTTATGAAATTAGTCTCATTACTTAATTGTCAGACCTAGTATGTTGCAGTGGTTCCTACTTTCATCTAACTAGCAAATGAGGATATATTATTCAATGTAAACTCGTCTATAATGGAAACAAATTTTAACCTAAAAGAACGACAGTAAAGTACCATATTTTTTAATGTATGAGATTCCCCACATGCAACGCCAATTTTGTAGCCCAAATATATAAACAAACATTTTAAATACATTCCGTTTATATGATGACCCCCAATTAAAAACTAAAAACAGCACATTTTATGAATGAAAAAAATACAATATGTAAAGGACCCTTTTCATGATTTTGGCGCATCTTGTATTTTTACAGAGCAATCAGCTCTGGAGATGTAGTCAACATCATGCATGTATTTTTACAGAGCAATCAGCTCTGGAGATGTAGTCAACATCATGCATGTATTTTTACAGAGCAATCAGCACTGGAGATGTAGTCAACATCATGCATGTATTTTTACAGAGCAATCAGCACTGGAGATGTAGTCAACATCATGCATGTATTTTTACAGAGCAATCAGCACTGGAGATGTAGTCAACATCATGCATGTATTTTTACAGAGCAATCAGCACTGGAGATGTAGTCAACATCATGCATGTATTTTTACAGAGCAATCAGCACTGGAGATGAAGTCAACATCATGCATGTATTTTTAAGAGCAATCAGCACTGGTGATGTAGTCAACATCATACCAGCTGCCTTTACTTCCCAGGATATTATCTGGTACCCATTTTTAACAGGTCCAACATGGGAGCCAAGGTCAATTCTGACAAACCTTGTCTCTATGCAGATCTAAACCCTTAACCTTCGGACAGAGAGATGATAATATAAATTTATAACTTTCAAAGAACAAGGTGAAGTTAGTTTTTTTGCAGTTGGGGTGTGAATCAAGTGAAGTGTTGGGCCTTCACATATTCAAGGTCATGAGACACAAGGCAGACTTGCTGTTTCTTCATCAACTTCCCTTTTCAGAAAATTACCCTAGTATTTATTTTAAAGCCCTAAATTAAGTGCAAGTCAAACTTTACGAGTCACTGAGTGAATTACAAAAGACAGTGAAGTTCATACTAGAGACAACATTGCAGATATAGATGATCTATTTCAAGCGAACAAAAGAAGAAGAAGAAGAAACAGATATTTTAAACACATTCCGTATATAAAACAGCTTCTAATTTTCAACTTTAGAATTGTGCAAACACACAAAACAATTCTCTTATAAATAGAAAAATACAGTATCTGGCATCCACCTTTCAGACTGGGTCAACCTCAAAGTCATACTGACAGAAAAAAAAAAAAATATCAGGCTTCTGCTGGGGATTGAACTTCAACCACTGACCTGGCAGGTAAACACAGTAATCACTTTACTACAACAGCTCCCAGATCCACCCACACTCAACTACAGGTTACTTTGTAATTGTTTTGTGGTGCCCTAATACAACTGCTACATGGCTATACAAACAGAGCTAGACTTTTTTCTTAAACACAGCCTTGGCACCCACATTGACATAGTCTTCATAGTTATTTGTTCCCACTACCAAAGCCTAATAAAGACCACTCGAAGATCTGCGGCTACAGAATCATCTCGATGCAGAATACTGTTGGCAAACTTTTGGAAAAAATTGTCGCACAAAGATTGACCAGCTACTTGGAACTACATAATAAGTTCCCACCAACACTTGGAGGGTACAGGTTAAATAAAGAGACATGGTTCAATGCTGCAGTTTTCGCCTACGATGTGTACGAGGGATTTCAGATTAAAGAAGAGACATGTGCGGCAGTGTTGGACTTAGAAGATGCCTACAATAAAGTACCATACGATTATTTAATGCAATTACTGCTTAAACTAGAAGTTAATCCTATTCTGATCCGCTGGATTGCTGCGGTCCTGTTCCAGAGAAAGATTGTACTAAGATGTGGTAGCTGGTCCTCAGAACCGCAAACGATATGTCCAGGCTTGCCACAGGGATCACCGCTATCACCAGTCTTATTCAACGTTTATACGGTGATGATCACTGAGCAGCAGTTGAATGGAAAGGGGAGGACTTTGTCATTTGCTGATGACATTTTGATTTATCGACGAGGGCGTGATAGACAGGAGATCGCCAGCACTATGCACAAAGAACTCGATCGAATTGCCGCCTGGTGTGATGGTTCCAATGCCTATGTCAATCCTTCGAAGGCATCAGTGTCATGGTTCTCTTTGAATAATCACATTGTCAAGTCGGACTTACCAGAAGTGAAAATGCGTGATAATGTATTGATCAGAACCAACGTTATGACGTTTCTCGGGGTGAGGTTCGATCGCAGCTTGTCATTCAGGGAACACGTTGACCATGTGATAACAAAAGCACGCAAAGGTCTATCTGCAATGAGGATTATGGCTGCTTCCAACATTGAGCAAAGACTACTAATACTTCTATTCTACGGTCTGGTCCTTTCCCCCATTGAATACGCTCTGGCCATCCTCACTGTCAGTGCTACCCAGATTGAACGACTCGAAAAGGTGCAAAATGAAGCCATGCGCATTATTTTGGGATGTACTAGAGACACATCCTGTGGAGCAATGAGGTATCTACTTGACTTTCCAACAATGAACCAAAGGATCAGGATGTGGAGGGCTCGGGCATATCTCAAAATATGTGCTGATAAGAAACACCCACTGCATCAAGCGCTTTTTAGTGAAAAGGGCGACAGACTGAAGAGGGGGAAATCGTGGCTAGGTCGGGCAGAAGATGTTATTAGGCAAATATGCAGCCTAACCGACATCATACCTGGTGCAGAATGGATACCTGTGCCTCAGGCGTTTATTTGTACATTTTCCTGTATTGTCACACTCAACAGGCGATGTAGAGAAGAGAATCCTGTTGCTGTTAATGCAGAGGTCAACGCTCTCATCGGTGAAAATTCAGACGAAGCAGATGCAATAATCTATACAGACGGATCCGTTATACGCCAAAGAAGAAGCGCATGGGCATTTACAGCACGCTCAGCGGGCAGAACAGTCAAAGAAGCCAACGGCGCCTTCTCCATGACAACCAGCAGCATGACGATGGAGGTGATGGCAGTGACACAAGCGCTTGCCTGGCTTGAAACACAAAAATACACCCGCGTGTGTATACTCAGTGATTCAATGAGTATGATCCGGAGGGTTCAGGCAGGTTCAGTGCGAAGACAATGGCTTGAATCATTACAGAAGTCCACTGTCCGTGGAGTCACCTTTATTTTTGTTCCGGGACACGCAGGCGTCGATGGAAATGAAAGAGCTGACAGGTTGGCTGGATCCGCTATCACTACCGACGGTCAGCCTATGGATCATGCTGATATTATCAATGCCCTCAGAGAAATGGGAAGGATAGACGACTTTGGTGGCAGTGAATCCACATCACTCGCCAGAATGGCAGACTTGGGAATTAAGATCGGCACAGCAAAAAACGAGACGCACACCAGCTACGCCAGAAGACTTGTTAATCAACATAGAACTGGTACTATTAGCCATCGGACGTTGGGGTTCATACTGAGGGGAGGATCTGAGCACCTATGGACATGTCCGGAGTGCAATGAGGATAACCCAACTAACTAACTAACTAACTAACTAACAAGTTTGATTCACATCCTTGAGATATGAATCCTACAGACTGTGATCCTAGAGATTAAATCATCATCATCATGTAGCAGGTCCTCTGCCAAAGCATTACAGTCAGCCTGAAAGAACCTTGGCCTCTCACCAACCCCCCCCCCCCCCCCCCCCCCCCCCCCCCATGTATTTTCATGTTTAAGGAGGCCCTTATATCCTGTGCCCATGTTTATGTTGGTCAGCCCCTGCCTCTCCTTCCTGGTACCATGCCTTCTATAATTTTTCCAATCTGCCATTGCGCTTGATATGACCAAAATATTTCAGCTTCCGAGAGATTTAATAAATAATAATAATTAAAAAAACACACAAGCTCCAATTTGAAACAACTGACAATAAAGTAGTTTGTAATTCCGAAATGCCCAGTCTGATTCAGACAAAACCTATTTCGTAGCAGAATGCTTTGCGTTAATTTTGACAGTGGTATAGATCACCAACAGTTTAAAAAGTGATTGTGAACTACTGAATGTAAAATTGCCTAGCAGAACCACAATCAGCCCAACAAATGTAGGTATGCAATGTCCTTCTTTTTCTTGTTTCGTTTGCCTGAAATAAGTTGTCTCTTTCAGCTATATTGTCTTGTATAAATTTCATTGTTGTTTTTAGTTCATTCAGTGGTCCATAAAGTAGAGTTTAGGTTCCACTTCTGTTCTTTCTGGCCAAATAGTTTGCCTTAATGGGTCAAGTTCGGTGTAGTCCTGGAGTACATATTCTGCTGTCTGGGGCACCTTTCCACAGGTGAACATAGCTGATACCCCTGTCTAGAATTCTGTGTACATGTGGTTAGGTTATCAATTGTGCCCTGTTCTAAGGTGAAGGATAATAACTTGTTCTGATCTGTCCATAATAAATTAGTCATCTTGTGCTGGGGCTGGTGGTTTTCCGATCGATTTAATTACCCTGTTTTTTTTTGGCGGCATGTAACTGGTACAATTAAATGTCCTGTACTGTATACACAACTAAGATGTCCATTCTGTAGATATAAAATATTATTGAAACAACAATTCCTATAACAATTTCAGGATTTTTAAAACAAGAAATCCAACTTGAAAAGTTAAAATCCATTTTATTAAAATTAAGTGTTTCAAAGTTCACTGAAAATCTGCAAAATCCTAAAGACACAAAATCAAACTGTTTCGGTAAATGCACATCTCAAATGAGAAGCCTTAGATCATAAGAAACTGTGACATCACAGACAGCATGAGACGCTGCTAGATGATGGTAACATCTGCGGCACTTTTCCAATCACTCACTTCTGTTGCTACATCTATTTTCATGATTTTTCAGTGATTTTATCTTCTAGTTTCCTAAATTCTTCATTCGAAATAGCCTCAACTTCGTCAATGACCTGGAGGAAAATAAAAATGAAATAATCATACTTATATTCCAATTTGAATGATATAAAATAATATTAAACAAACACACACAAAAAACTTTTTCCAAAATAAGATACTTTTGGGTTTAAGATCCTTGCCAATTTTTGTCTTCTTTTTAACTAATCAGGTAGTCTGACGCTTTCTGTCTTTACCTCCCAAAACATTCACTGGTACACATTTAAAGCTGGATCAGCTGAGAAGTGTAGGTAATTTTATTTTAATATATCTGCCTCAAAGGAGGATTAAAACACTAATGATGGAGATTAAAACACTAATGATGGAGATTAAAACACTGATGATGGAGATTAAAACACTGATGATGGAGATTAAAACACTGATGATGGAGATTAAAACACTGATGATGGAGATTAAAACACTGATGATGGAGATTAAAACACTAATGATGGAGATTAAAACACTAATGATGGAGATTAAAACACTAATGATGGAGATTAAAACACTGATGATGGAGATTAAAACACTGAAGATGGAGATTAAAACACTAATAATGGAGATTAAAACACTAATGATGGAGATGAAAACACTGATGATGGAGTTTAAAACACTGATGATGGAGATTAAAACACTAATAATGGAGATTAAAACACTAATGATGGAGATTAAAACACTAATGATGGAGATTAAAACACTGATGATGGAAATTAAAATACAGGCGATGAAGAGACTGATGAGGCAGTAACAGAACTTTTCATGAAAACAATGGGGTGTCTCCACGGTGAAGTAGTCAAGCCATTGACCTCTTGCACGAGGGTCATGGATTTATTTCATGGCTGTGTTGTTCGGCTCACAAGGGCAATTTTTATGAAGAACCCATACCCCTGGGATTGTCGGTGAAGCTAGTGTTCATGCTTTTTAGGACATTCTTAGTCAGCAGCAACTAGCCATTCTGTAGAGTTAGAAAGAGTTATATGGAATAAAACCTGATGCAATGAAGCCTTGACTTTAACCTTCATTCAAAATTAGCAGTAGGAACCAATGTTGACATCCATATTCCATGTAACCATTGACAAATTCAGGCCTCTGGATGTTGAATTAAGAATGGACATCACAGCACTCTGGATCTTGAATTAAGAATGGACAACACAGCACTCGGGATACTCCCATAAGTGCTCCATCCCCATCTATGGCAGCAAATGAAGAATTCTGTGGAAAGGTCTCTGGAAAGATGATCAATGATAGATGATTCGGTTGTCAGAGATTTTGCTGGATAGTCTAAGATGATGGAAGACTTGGCAGAGAGATATTGCTGCATAGACTAAGACAGTGGCTTCTAATGATTACATGTAAATTTCTTCTTCTTAAAGTCCGTGCCGTTGGTAGTCCTGTCTATCCACAATCTTCTGTCTCGTGTACTTCAAACAATTTTGACACAGATTATCCTTCATGCCATGATGTCAAACTGTCCAAACAATTTTCAACTCAGCAAAAAGCACCATTTTATTTTCTGTATGTAAATGACATCTCTATATTTAGTTTACATCAGAAACACAGGTTTTTCAAAGTTTTTAAAGTCAAGAGGATCAAATTCATTATATCAGGTTTTATGCTTTCTCTTGATGTTGTCCTCCCACTTGTATCCTTGTCTACTTCTTGCTAACTTGAGTTTGACTTTTCCCTCCAAATATTTTTTTAAATAAGTGTTCTGTTTTTTTAAACGTGGCCAACATATTTCACTTCTCATTAAAAAAATCAATCTTTCGGCACTTCTCTTGTCATTGCCAGTTACTCAAAAAGTATGACTAGTTTCGTTTCTATGTGAAATGACAATAATCCAACTAACTGAGCTAAGTTGAGTTGAGTTGATTCAAGAACCAACATCACAGCACTCGGGGCATTCCCATAAGCACTCTGTCCCCATATTCAGCAGCCAGCGAAGAGTACTGATACTAATGGTGCCAGTAGCAGTCTGATTATACGTCCGTCTTGCCTTTCCTCTGAGCCTCGAGCATCTGCCAGAACCTCTCGTCACTTCCCGCTGCATCAATCTCACCAGACTGTGGTGATCCATCTGCTCCTCCGAACTGTACACGCTCTCCCACAAGGCACTTACTACGTCTGCCTTATCATACATTAGTATTCCACCAAGTTGTGCAGAGTCAGCCAGTCTTTCCGGCTGTTCATTTCCCAACACACAGGCATCTCCCAGTGAAAAAATCCAGACAATACTCCTCAGCCGTGTCCTCTGCAGTGAAGCATGCCACTCTAACTGAATAACAACATAAGCTTCTGTACAGCCACTGCCAACAGTTACCCACTGTATGGGACCCTGGACTAGCTAAGGAAGACTCGCACTTCCATAAACAGTGGCACTAAACTGACAAGAGCAGATGACAGCGCAGCAGCTTTGGGACCAACAAGGAAAACATGGCACTGAGTAATGCAATATTTATGTTCACGGCACACCTGAAATGTTTCTCTCTATCTAGCCCTATGTGCTTTATGGCTAATGCATTTTCAATGTCTTGTATCCACCTTCATGGAGGTTGGCCTATACCTTGTTTTCTAGAAACTGCCCCCTTCCATCACTATTCTCTCCAGACCACCACGGTGCTTAACATGGCCAAAATACTTCAACTTTTGGAACAGGATGCTGTTTATGAGCCAAGTCTCCTTGATGTTCAGATCATGTAGGATTTCAGTATATTTCTTGTTCTTGGCCCAATGTATTTTAAAGAATTTTCTGTAGCATGTCAGTTCAAATCTCCAATTTCTTTCTTTACAGACTGAGTAAGAATCCATGACTCACATCCCCAAGTTGCCACGGGACAGATGCATGATCAAAACATTTTTACTTCAACCTGGAGGTGCTGTGCCATAAGTTCTTCAAGATGAAGATGCATCAAAGAGACAAAAAACAAACACAGAATGGGACAGAAAACACAGACAGACAAAAACTATGTCACTGGAGGTCAGCTAGAATGCAATATAGAGCCAGTTTTAACATATGGCTGTGAATCCTGGACAATTAAAGAGGCCTCACTGATGTGGTTTCACAGAATACTTAGAATTCCTTGGACAGCAAAAAAAGTGACCCAGAATTTTGAAAGAGGTGAAGGTGTGAAGACAACTTATCACAAACATCAGAAAGAGATGGTCACAATTTTTGGCAATGTTCAGAAGGAAACTCGAACGTGTTGTGACTGCTGGAAAGATCTGCAGGAGAAGAGACAGAGGAAGACAGCGCGAAACAGCACTGAACTACTTTGATACTCATTCTTGCCTATTTAGTGAATCAGCTGTGTATTTAATTCTGATCTATTTCCTGAATCACTTTTAGAGTTGTTCAGCCTGTTTAATAAACTGAGCGAGGAGCGGCAGGCAGAGCGGTTACAATGTCCGACTCTCAAACGGGGGACCCGGGTTTGATGCCCTGAAAGGTAATGGGAGTGTTTCTGTCAGTGGCAAAATTAAACATGGCGACAGCACTGGCCATACAGCCCTAAAAATTCATGGTCAGGACCCCCTGTATAAAACCATTGTAATTAGTAAATACAGACAGGAGTGACATTATTACAGTTTATATTACTGAACCGAACCGCTTAAAAGGTTAATTCTGGCCTATCTGCTAAACCAGTTGTACGGTTAATTCTGGTCCATTTACAAACCACATACACAGTAGATTATAGTCTATTTACTGAACTACTATATGGTTAATTCTGGCCTATATACTGACACAAGCATACAGTTAATTCTGGCCTTTTTACTAAATAACTATGTGGTCAATTCTGGCCTATATACTCACACACGTATACAGTTAATTCTGGGCTAGTGACTGAAATGGTTATATAGTTAAGAGCATGGCCATACCTGTTCAACAGCCTTAACTTCTGGGATATAGAATTGCAACATATTCTGAACTCCATTCTTCAGTGTCACAATAGAGCTGGGACAACTACTGCATGAACCTTGCATCTTCAGCTTCACAATACCTTTCTCAAAGCCCTGCAAAAATAATTCCGAAACACTATGTGTGAGAAACTCTGAAAGCCCAAGGCAACTTCAAAAACTTGACATTTAAACATACTTTTAAATTAAAGCAGTGTTTTCCCATTGTAAATCTGAATAAAGATTGCACAATTTATTGCCTGGCATATTAAAAAAAAGGAGTCGCTGAGCACATTCCAGTATAGGGGGACAGACAATGGCAGAACACTAATATTTCTTGAAGCCTCGGCGATTCGTTACCTCCGCCCTGAACTTTGTATACAAAAAGACAAGACATTGCAGCTGCCCTGGTAAAACAGGCAATTGAGTTTGACTGTTGCTGAATTTGAACTTCAGTTATAAAGGATTCCCTATAGTATGCACCTGACGAGATACAGCGAAATATGCCAGGCAATAATTGTGCAATATACTGTTTGCATCTTCTTTATTCAAATACTTTTAAACTGCCTGCACATTAAAGGGGTCCTAAAGAGAAGGAATCAAGGAGCCCTTCTCCAGCCACAGAATTATAAGGTATATGATGCAAGAGCCATATTTTTATGGACATAATCATCAGGTCCTCCACAGAATTTTATTCTCTTCATGGCATGTCTACAAGTTTCTCTTTCTCTAGCCCATTCTTCAGCTTTATGTGCTTTCTGGGGAAACCCAGGTTTGAATACATGGTTAGGTTATGTTTGTTTTCTTCTGTCAGGTTAAAACTAAAATCCTACACTGCAGTCTGTGGTGACTGCACTACCCATGTGGCCCTAAATCAACAGTTTCAAAGACCCCTCCCTCTGACAAAAAAAGCAAAAGTGGTAAATGCAGGCAGCAAATGACAGTTTACTGTCTTCAGCTCTTGTTCATGTATTGTGATGTTTCTGCTAATTTATCCTTTGTTACCTGTCAGCTGTTTTATTTTCAGTTTACTTTCATACCATATTATGTTGAGATTACGTCAAACCTGGCTGCCAGTTCTTGAGTCGGAGACTTGTGTCATAGATCTGTCACTTAAATAACAACAGAAAGTGAATGAGACAAGAGGGGAGACAAGTGTACTTTACCATATAGACAATATCTCCACCATCTTCTTGAACTGTTGGCCTGATTCTGGTGTCTAGTAGCTCCTTGATTAGTGCTACAGTTTCATCATCATCTTCATGAATAGCTAGAGAAAGATCAATCCTAGTAATTACTGGGGAACTCTTAGCAATTATTTAGTACATCCTAGCACTCACTGGGTAAATCCTTGCAATTATTGGTTAAATCCTAGAATTTATTGGTTAAATTCTAGCAATTATTAAGTAAATCCTAGCACTCATTGGTTAAATCCTTGCATACACTGAGCGAATCCTACCATACACTGAGTAAATCCTAACAATCATTGGTTCAATCCTAGCAATTATTAGGTAAATACTAGCAATTATTAAGTAAATCCTAGCACTCACTGGTTAAATCCTAGAATTATTAAGTAAATCCTAGCACTTACTGGGTAAATCCTAGCAATTATCAAGTAAATACTAGCACTTACTGGGTAAATCCTAGAAATTATTAAGTAAATCCTAGCAATTATTAAGTAAATACTAGCACTCATTGGTTAAATCAAGGAAACAAAAAAGACAGTCCAATTCAGTTATTCTGGAAAGACTAAATGAAAAGAGAATTACTGAGAGAAAAAAAGAGACAATTGAAATACTCTGGCAAATAAAACAACACGCTTTTAAAAACCATTCCGGAGGGAAAGACTGAAGGCAATAGAGCAAAAGGTGGGCAACAATACAAGTGGGAAGATAACATCAAGAAATGGATGGGAAGCAGTCTGAGAGAGTGTACAACCAGGACAAGAGATGGATGGGAAGTAGTCTGAGAGAGTGTACAACCAGGACAAGAGATGGATGGGAAGCAGTCTGAGAGAGTGTACAACCAGGACAAGAGATGGATGGGAAGCAGTCTGAGAGAGTGTACAACCAGGACAAAAGATGGATGAGAAGCAGTCTGAGAGAGTGTACAACCAGGACAAGAGATGGATAGGAAGCAGTCTGAGAGAGTGTACAACCAGGAAAAGAGATGGATGGGAAGCAGTCTGAGATAGTGTACAACCAGGACAAGAGATGGATGGGCAGCAGTCTGAGAGAGTGTACAACCAGGACAAGAGATGGATGGGAAGCAGTCTGAGAGAGTGTACAACCAGGACAAGAGATGGATGGGAAGCAGTCTGAGAGAGTGTTCAACCAGGACAAGAGATGGATGGGCAGCAGTCTGAAAGAGTGTACAACCAGGACAAGAGATGGATGGGAAGCAGTCTGAGAGAGTGTACAACCAGGACACGAGATGGATGGAAAGCAGTCTGAGAGAGTGTACAACCAGGACAAAAGATGGATGGGAAGCAGTCTGAGAGAGTGTACAACCAGGACAAGAGATGGATGGGAAGCAGTCTGAGAGTGTACAACCAGGACAAGAGATGGATGGGAAGCAGTCTGAGAGAGTGTACAACCAGGACAAGAGATGGATGGGAAGCAGTCTGAGAGTGTACAACCAGGACAAGAGATGGATGGGAAGCAGTCTGAGAGAGTGTACAACCAGGACAAGAGATGGATGGGAAGCAGTCTGAGAGAGTGTACAACCAGGACAAGAGATGGATGGGAAGCAGTCTGAGAAAGTGTACAACCAGGACAAGAGATGGATGGGAAGCAGTCTGAGAGAGTGTACAACCAGGACAAGAGATGGATGGGAAGCAGTCTGAGAGAGTGTACAACCAGGACAAGAGATGGATGGGAAGCAGTCTGAGAGTGTACAACCAGGACAAGAGATGGATGGGAAGCAGTCTGAGAGAGTGTACAACCAGGACAAGAGATGGATGGGAAGCAGTTTGAGAGAGTGTACAACCAGGACAAGAGACAAAACGTGTTGGAGATTTACTGCAGCCAACCTTCACCGTGGAGATGGCACCTGATCGACTGACCAAACAATGTAAATGAGAACAGAAAACATTCCTGATCAGTGCTTCTGGCGATCGTGTGAGACAGCCTGCCAGGAAAGCCTATGATAATTAACATGGATATTTGATGAGAATTATGATGCTGATGAACTTCAAGTCATTTTATGGATCCCAATTTTGCAAACAAATGAAATGTTCTTTTTTTAGTCGATGCCATGTGGCGTTAGTAGTTATGTCTATCCACAACGTTCTGTCTCATGTATTTTCAATCAACTCTGACATAGATGATTCTCTATGCCATGATGTCACGCTGTCCAGCATCTTTTATCTCTGTCTTTCTCTGCCTCTCCTCCCTCCAACTTTCCTACCATCATGATGGTAGTTTTCTCCTTCTCATCACATGACCAAAGAATGTAGATTGTCTCTTTCTGCTGTGGGCAATCAGTTCTCTTTGTAAATAAGTTTTTTTTTTTTAAAGATATCTTCATTACTCTTTTTATCTGTCTAGGATATTCTCATCATTTATCTATAAAACCACATCTCCACAGCTTCCAAGTTATTTTTCACTAATCTACCTATCTGTAAAAAACAATGACAATGTAACAGTGTGTTACTTTGGCAAGCTCTGTTGCTTTGAGAAAAGTAAATGTGTTTAACCATTTCAAAATCCTTGAGCGCTAGGTTTCAATTTGTGCAATGCATGGCAATGTAAACAACAACACATTTTTAAAAAATGAGGAGAGTGGTATGAAAGTTGCCAAGTGGAAGACTGTGGGGTCTCACCATGTGATATTTTTAGAGACATCAGTGGTCGCACTGTAGCCCACCTTCAGTGTGGAGACGGCACAGGAAAGAATTTGCATTAATCTGAAGCTCCCCCATGTGGGTTCTGTAGCGCCATTGAGGGGAAAACAAGAATCGACCCACTGCCTGCCACAACAAGCATGTCCTGAGAGTTAACTAATTGGGAGCTTCCTTCGAAGGGGAGTGCATCTGCCTGAGAGGCAAGGAACCAACAGTCTACAAACTCATAAGTCAGATCTGTAAAACAGATGTGCATGCAACGCTCAGATTCTGGAACAGAACTACAGGCCAGAAGTGGACAAACAGCCGGAACTTTCTTCCGGAGTTTACTGCTGGTAAACACGGAGAATAAAGAAGAAGAATTGGACGCTTCATCTGTGGTATGTCATGACATTTTGATAGGATACAGAATAACAGGAGCAGGCACTGATCTAAACCAGCAGACAGAAAAATGTAAAAACTCTCTTACTTGTGTCTTCTAAAGGTTTGTCATTGGTCAACACAGGCAGACCGCTGGCAAAGAAGTCCATGATCACAGCAAATATTTCTGGCTTCAGCACAGCCCAGTCCACATCGTCATCAACCTGCAGAAAGTTTGCACACCATCATGTCAGAAATGCTTAATTCCATGCATGTGTTTTTTTTAGCATTCACTGGCTGTAAACTCTGGACAGAAAGTTTGGAGATGTTTATCTACTCCTAGACTTCAATCTTGTGCGTGCACATTTGTTTTACTGATGCAACTTACTTGTATGTATACACTCAGGCAGATGCACTACGACTTCAGAAGAAATATCCCCAATTAGTCGCATATATGCCTTTTTAGGGAGGCGGTGAGTCTATTCTGTTTCCGATTCAATGGGGTCCCAGAACCCACACAGGGAACTGCTACATAATTACAGATGTTTGCCTGATGGTCCAAAGGATCCTGACTCCTTTGTTGAATGCCTATAGAGTAGAAATCCCACTAAAAGACAGAAACAGGGTTAATATGCCCACTGAGCAGGAGGTGATGATTCCTAACATGAGCCCAGTACTAGAGCTCCACGTATCAGCTCTGCATTTATCGAAGCCTCCTCATTGGACTGATATCCAGATTGACTGTATGTGTGTGCATGCATGCATGCATGTGTAGGTGGGTATGTATGGAGTGTGTGTGTGTGTGTGCATGTATGTCTATGTGTGTGTGTGTGTGTGTGCATGTATGTATGTATGTATGTGTTGGTGTGTGTATGGATGGATGTGTTGGTGTGTGTATGGATGTATGTATGTGTTGGTGTGTGTATGGATGTATGTATGTGTGTGTATGGATGTATGTATGTGTATGTTGGTGTGTGGATGTATGTATATTATGTATGCATGTGGGTGTAGCCTATGTAAGTATGTGAGCGTATATGTATGTAAGTGCGTGTTTGTATGTTATTACACATGTCTGTATATGAGTGTGTATGTATGAAAATGAAAGAGTATGTGTACGTGTGTGTGTTTGAGTGTGTATGATTGTGTATGCATGATGCGTGTATGCATTATTCTATAATGTATATTTTTTAAAATTATAAACATAACAAGCATTATTGATAACAGGCCATGGTACTCTGAAAGATGAGTGCTCAGAAGGGCTGAATGTCAGACGGGCCTACGTGCCCAATTTGTAACCCTTTGAAAATAAAGTTTGTTCATTCGTTATCTCCCACAGAGGCAGAACTTTTTTCAACAATACAACAACAGGATGGATCCAGCCTGGCAGAAATGGGCAACAATTTTCAGCAACATCTGGGAAGTAACGGCAACAAGGTAGATTCTAGTCACCCAATATCATGTTGTGGCCTTAAATTTCATACTCCAATGGCAGTATCTGCAATGGGACTATCTTCTTAAAAGAGCTTGTATGTACAGATATGTGGCTGAAATGTTCTATCTTCCACCAGTTTGCGTAACTTCTCGAGACTTGTTAAAACAAGAAAACCGTTACAAAGACAAATATTTTTAGTGATTACTGAGACTGTCATCATCACAATCCCTGAAGAAAAGTGTTTGCTGCCATATTTTGCCATCCCACATGATCACAGAATAATTACTCTCACAGACTTAGAATTACTGGTAAAATCAATAAGAACATATAAACTCTCACTTTTGTTACTGTAATGGCTTCTTTTGAAAAAAATACACCTTTAACACCATCAATTCGGAAAAGCATCCTGCAGAGGAATAAAATAAATGTTAAAAAAAAAACCAGAAAGAAATACAAATGAGATAGATTTAAATTCTTTTGCCTCTACTACTTCAATTTAGGAAACACTGATAAAGTGCATAAAGAACATTTTCCGTGCATGCAGCACATTGGCTATATGGGTCTGTTTCATTGTTTTACATTCCAGCCAGCCCTTGGTGGGCAATGTGGTCTTCTTCTTCTTCTTCTGCAGCGATCTCTGGTCATGTGCATAATCCACTGTGGCCCATAAACTGGGATGTCATTTCAAGGTCTCTTAGGTTTCCTCAAAAGCTTAGTTGTCAGTTCTACTGGGTGTTGCCATATGTTGCTTAAACAAGAGAGGACAGTCTTGCAAGAAATGCTCTGGAGTCTGTTCAGCATGAAGGCACTGGCAGAGAGCTGTTTGGTTCATACCTAACTTTTATGAGTGTTTGTTGAGTCTGCAGTGTCCAGTGCGTAAGGGAAACATTTTGACTTGGTCTGTTCAGTTCAGGATGGGGCAGTTGAAGTTTTCCATGGGATGATGTATTCAGTATCACACCAGCCCTTCTTGATCCCTTCTTACTACAGGCATAATATTTTACATTGTGGCTCGGGGAGGAAATGGGGAAAGCTGCATGCGACAGCGAAGGATAAAACAATCTGGTGTGAGTTGGTTGAGGGCCTATGCTCCACTGGGGTAAGAAGGCAGCAGAAGATATTTAATATGTAGATGAATATGTATTAAACGTGTTATTAATATGTATATGTAATGTTCATATATTGATGTGTATATTAATATGTATAAATAATGTTCATATATTGATGTGTATATTAATATGTATAAATAATGTTCATTTATTAATAATATATTATGTAGGAGGGATGATCAAATAGTAATAACTTCTTCTTCTTTGTTCGTTCGCTTGAAATAAATAATCTATATCTGCAATGCTCTCTCTAGTATGAACTTCACTGTCTTTTGTAATTCACTAAGCGGCCCGTTAAGTTTGACTTCCACAAATGTCTCTTTTGGCCAGAAGTTTTGCCTGGAAGCGTTGAATCTGGAACAGTTTTGGAGGATGTGATCTGCTGTCTCAGGTGCCAGTCCACAGGTACACATGGCTGATTCGTCAATCTTAAATTTTGTGTACATGTGGCAGCAAAGTTGATTGTGCCCTGTCGAAGGATAATGTCCTGCTCTGGTCTGTCCATAATATGGTAATCGTCTTGTGCCAGTTTCGGTGGCTTTCTGATTGATTTGATTATTCTCTTTTTCTGTTGATAAGAGATTCATATGTCGGGTTGTTCTTCCTTAGTTTATCTGCTCTTTGGTTTCCAAGAACTCCACGGTGGGAAGGTATCCACTGCATAACTACATTACAACGGTTGCCTTGATCGGATAACAGTGTCTGTATACTTGGTAATTTTCCAGACTGGAGTGCCTGAAGTACCGCTTTTGCATCTGTCAGGAATACCGCTGGTCGTGAAAAATACTTGGTATTTAGTAGTTTCTCTACCGCTATCTTGATGGCCTGAACTTCTGCAGAGTCGTGACAGTGCTTTCCTGTAGGTATTTTGGCTGTATCCCTGGTATTATTAGGATACTCAATGTACACTCCTGCACCTTCGTTTCTGACTGCACTTTCTGCTGACCCATCTGTGTAAACACGGACCCAAAGATTCTGCAGGTAATACCTTCTATTTGGTATTTATGTAAAAACTGTATCAGTAAGCAATTTGCACATTTAGCAGGATGCCTCAAAGATTCCTCTTCACTGTACTGCATTACCAACTTGTTTCAGTAGTAGGTGGCAACACTGTAAGAGTTCAAAAATGGCTTCCAAAGACGTTCAGTTAAAACAATATAATGTCATAGAATTCCTCAATGCTGACTGAAGGCGAGACTCCAATTGGCATGCACGAACGTTTGAAGAATTTTTATGGAGATTCCACAGTGGATGTTAGCACTGTCAGATGCTGGGTACATCGATGTGACAATGAGGTTAATCCTAAATGGCTAACGCAGCGCAGACTGGCCATCCGTCTACTGCAGTTGATGACATCATTCGTGCTGATCATCAGGTAACATTGGATGAATTGTGCTACATAAGCACATAAGCAGAGGCAGTGTAGAGACAATGAGTTCATCCAGTGTGACCCCACAGCCGATATCATAAGCTCGGTGAATGTTGTGTGGAGTAACTGCGTGCGACGGACAGCTAGTCATTCTGTGTCAACCACTAATGACTGACCTACTTCAGCATCACCACAATGATGTACCTAGAGTCAGCCAGTGCTAACATTGACTGCTGAATCTCCATAAACATTATTTGCTGTCTCACCTTCATCACTGAGGAATTCTATGACATCACACTGTTTTAACTGAACGTTTCTGAAAAGCTACTTTTAAACCGTTACGGTGCTGCCATCTGTTATTGAAAACGGTAATGCTAGACAGTGTAAAAAAGCATTTGAGGAATCCTGCTAAATTTACCAATTACACACTGACACAGTATTTATGTACATTAAAATAAGGAGTCATTAATTTTTTGATAATCCCTCATATATATAAGTATGTATAAAATTATTTATATATATTTATATGTACATATTATTATGTATAGATTATGTATATATTATTATGTGTAGATAATGCATATATTAATATGTATATAAAATATATATTTATATATTCATATGTATATATTATATGGACTTTTTTTTAAAAAATGAGCTTGACTTCCAGGTTGACTCTCCCTTAAAGGGTACCAGGTGGAGTCATGGTAAGTAAAAGCAGCTGGCGTAATGTTGACCGCATCACCCACCGAGCACCGATTGGTCTATAAAATATAGGTCTAGACCTGTATGCCCAACAGCCTGAAAAGGTGGAAAGGGTCCTTTACTTTTTTTTAAACTGTTATATATTACTATGTATAGGTTATGTTTATATTTTTATGTTAGATAATATAGGTTATGTTTATATTATTATGTTTGGATAATCTATATATTAATATGTATAAATAATGTACACATCACCACAAATACATAAACTTACTTTGCCAGAGGTGAACAACTGGCACTTTGTGGGTTTGGGAAATCAAATGTCCCAGACTCCAGGACCGTAACTCCAGGGATAAACTTCAGGCTGTTTGGATTGGGCGTCTCCTGGGTCTGGATGAACATGCTGCGAACTGGACAAGCAGGATAAACATCATCAGTAGCACAAACAAAAACTTGCATCACTAGGTTTGTGCATTTGTGAGTTAACCAAGGCTCCCACCAGATGCATCTTCAAAACCTAATGCTGCAATGTTGTCTCTAGTATGAACTTCACCGTCTTCTGTAATTCACTTAGCAGCCCGTACAATCTGACTTCCACCAGTGTCTCTCTTGGCTAGAGGTTTTGTCTGGAATTGTTGTATTTGAGACAGTCTTGCAGGATGTGATCTGTTGTCTCAGGTGCAGGGCCACATGTGCACATGGTTAATTTGTCAATCTAACATTTTGTGTACATGTGGCTGCGAAGCTGACTGTGTTCTAATTTAAGGCGTAGAATAACGACTTCCTCTGGTCTGTCCATAAAATGGTGATCATCTTTACCCAGTTTTGGCGGCTTTCTGGTTGATTTAATTATTTTCTTCTTTTGATGAAAAGTTTACTTGTAATGATGTCTGTTGTTTGATTTACACAACGAGGATGAGAATCAAGCAGGTACAATAACCATGAGGCCACCTTCAACCACAACAGTTATAAGGGAGTGGGGGTCAAGAATGGCTACACAGTAAAATGAAGTTCCGACCCGGCAGGGAAATACTCTTAACGATACCAAAAGGCTCAGTAATACAGTATATAAACAAAGTCTTTCTTCTTATACTGATCTCATCATCACATGTCATGCCAAAAAGTGTAGGATGTCATGTTTTGCCATCTCAGATGATCGCCAGAATCACAGATCAAATCAATGCTCCTGTCTCACACCCTCAACATGGCCAAGCCATCAAGGTATTTATCTCGTTGCCTTCCCCTTGCTCTTTTACAGCCAATCTTGTGGGTTTTCACCAAGTTCGTGAATACATTCATTCTCAGAACATATTCGGGTGAAAAAACACAAGAATGTCAATGTCTAATTTCTCCAATAAGTTTACATAAACCCAAGTATCAATATGAATAATTTACCATGCTGAGTTCTGAATGCTGACAATTTACTCTGCAGAAAACCCCTGCGCTGGACTGTGCTGTGTTTCCCCAAAGACACAGTGTGCAGGTGCCGTGTACAGTTTTGAGGAAACTTGTCAACATCGTGGTTGAGAAAGCCCCCAGAAAGCAGTGGCATCAACCTTCTGTGTAAATACAATAAGGAAACCAGTGTGTGACAAAAATCTACAGGCTTATTACTTTGACACTGTGCGTTCAAATCTTCAATAAGAAGAAAAAATTACTGATATCAAGAGAGACAAAGATCACATTAAAAATGAGAATTGTCAAATATTATGTAAACTTAACCCTATCGAATGGTGCAGCAACCTGAACAAGGAAGAAGTAACTAGTAACCGTATTATCATTCTTAGAGAAAAAAATTAAGGGGAAAAGTCCAAAGTGAGAGAGCAAGAGTTAGACAGCAGCACAAGTGGGAGGAGAATATCAAAAGATGGATGAACAGCAACTGGATAAAGGAGAAAGTGAACAGACCAGATGAGAGACAGACAGACTGGAGGTGCTTGCAGCTAATATTCTCTGTTAAGAGACACTGGGCTGGTTCATACACATCCTTGATTTTCCTCCACCTTGTATTTTTTTTAAAGGAAAATAATCCATCAACTGAAATTCCATGAGTTCTTTTTTCCCTTTTTATTTTCAAGAAGAGTCCACTGCCTCTACCAACTCATAACAAGAATGTTGTAGCCAGGGATTGAGGATGTGAAAGAGAAATCTCAAGTTGAATGTCTGAGAGAGGTCAAAGGTCCTGATTCAGATTCAATCCCTGGCATCAAACAGACTGCACAGAATAGAAAGAAATAAAGGCATAGACTACAAGCTTTATGTGACATAAAGCATATAAATATGATGATGATGAAGTAGTCACACTTACGTCCCCTTACAACATTTCAAGGGTCCCCTTTGCCTAGGAAATATATATGTGTGTGTGCGTGTGTGTGTAGATATATACAAATATACTGAATACAAATAAGTAAAATAATATATTTGCACATCTAAAATAAAATGATATGTATGAACAAATAATTTAAAAGAGTTCTATACATGGGCTAGGGAATTAGGCCACCTTACAGCCATATAATTTTTTTCTGGGTGCTAAAGCCAGGGGTCCGAGGTCGAATGATCTAATGCATAATGATGCATAGTTACCATCACCATCAGATCACCGTCCTGTTGTGCTGTTATACATCACACAAAGCTCGTAGTCTAGTCCTCCATCTTATCCATTCTCTAAGTCTAATCTCACAAATCTGATTATCTATTCTCTTAGACTGCATCCCAAAATGATATGCACATTTTTTTAAAAGCCCCTCCCCCTTCCCTCAGTTAATGTTGGGGGCCCTAATATAACATAAAGGTTAAAAAGGGTTTCTGGGACTTGCGCCTATAAGACTCTCATATCTGAATGGCGGCACTTTGTTTCACCGGGTATTAATGGCTCGCAGTGCGGTTGAACGTCACTGACACAAATATTATGTACAAAATGTAATGAAGTTCATTGCAGCAATCATTGCTATAGAAGTATAACTATAGGGCTATCTTCCGAATAACGGTCCCAAATTATCGAGGCGGAAAATATACCCTAACAGAGCCTCAGTCAATTGCGCACTTCCGGGGACTATACCGCACCCCCTTACCCCCCCCCCCCCGAATTGCGATCTTCTAGAGTCTATACTGGCGTCAACTGGGGCTAAACTAGATGGCTGGGACTCAGGAGCAAAAAAAATGAAGGAAGCTGCAGGAGATGAGGTTGCTGCTTCTCATGAGTCGCGGCGTGGGGGATACTCTCGGCGGTGGCGAAAGTCGCCGGTAGTGCGCAATTTAAGTCGCCGGAAGTTTGCAATTGACACGTGACTGAGGCTCTGTTTGGGTCCGCCTCGATAATTTGTGATCGTTACATTCGGAAGATAGCCAATATTACAGTACTTTACATTAATACACTAATTGTGTGAAATATCATGAAGTAATTAAATATGTGGTTTACCTAACTAACATAATTTGCTAACATGAAAACTGGTAGATGCATTATACTTATTTTAAAACATTGCTAAATTACTTTGAAATATCAGTTGCTGAAAGACGACGTAGGCAGGAATATGAAACTCCAGTCATTCTGAAGTTGCGGCGACACAACTACTACTTCCTTTCTTTAAGATCAAATTAGGAGTCGAATTATTCACTCTACTTGATCGTAATAGATGTTTAAAATAAAAGACACTGTTTTCGTCTTTTAGGATACAGTAGTTGTATTTCCAAAACAGAACGAAAATATTGGTAAACCTTCGTTTATTATTATTTCGAGGTCATACATTTTTTTACTTCCGGTTTTAGCTTATTCATTTCGCCTTTATTCGTGTCAAAATTATTAAATTATCAATCCATCCATCATCATCGTGTAGCAGAGTGTTTACAGAATGTCGCACTCATCATGATCTGCCCCCCCCCCCACCCCGTTAAAACTCGATCTTTCGCCAGTTCTCCCGCCTCATGCACTTCTTTATCCAAGGAGTCACTTACACCCTGTGCACATCTTTGTGTTGGTAGGCCCCTGCCCCTCATTTCTCATAGGTGCCATGTTACCGTTGTCACTTTCATATCCTGCTGCCACTCGCTGCAGGCCACGGCCGGTGTTCAAAACAGGGCGGTTCCGGGGGTTCACCCAACCTATAGGTAAAGGGTACCAGAGTTAACACTCGGGTAAATAGAGGAAGTTCTCTGTAGCTACGGAGTTTTGCGCGGACGGCGATACAGGTGGACAGTTTCTTATCAACTGGCCGTGCTGGTGGCAGAGCATTTATGGTTTATAACCGTGTGCAATGACGCTGGTTCACATCTCCCGATCTGACCTGTTTACTCTTACCCTAACTTCTGGTACCTTGTCTTCTGCTATTAATATTTTTTTCCAATCCATCGTGGCGCTTGATGGGGCCAAAATTTTTCAGCTACCGAGGCTAGATACTGTTTATTAGTCAAGCTTCCTTGATGTTCGGCGACTTGAGAGTTTAAACTTGTTCTGTTTCATGAAGTCGATTTTATATTACATACAGAAACGTTACAGAAGCCACACGGTAAAAATAAAGTTATAGTAAGCACAGTCCAGCCACCACCACCCCCACCCCTTTTCCGACCGCAAAAACAATCTAAATCCGTAGGTCCCAATAGGCTCTACACCCCGACAAATTTTCACTTTTCGGTCGAATACGAATAATGGGACCAACTATTCGGTCGAATACGAATAATGGGACCAACTATTCGGCCGAATACGAATAGTGTATAATGTTTAAAATATATATTACCCCCCAAAAAAAAAAATTATAATGTCAAATGTACGCTGAACTTTTACTTCACACAAAGTAGCACAGAATAGTCATCTTCTTCTTTTGCATTCTGAGCCCTTGAGGTTTACTGCTGCAGATATCACTCGTCTCCATTCATCTCTAGGGCTGACCTTTTCTTCACAATTTGTGACACCAGTTGTTTGCAGGTCTGGCTGGACATTATCTCTCAAACTTTTTTTTTGGGGGGTCTGCCTCGTGGTCTACGCCCATTCCTCTCTCAGGTGTACACAGTTTTACTTCTCTGTCATCTGACATTCCTCAATATACCCCAACCATTTTAGCCTGTTAGCTCTCATGATGCCAGTGATCAATGGTGATTTAAACAGATTATGTCTTACGTTGTTGCTTCTTACTCTCCATTCCCCGCTGTTAGCATCTATGATGAGTCCAAAGATTTGAACCTGCAATAAGGCCTCATCTCTTTTATTTCTGCTTCAAGTTTCAGAGTCATATAAAACGACTGGTCTTATCAACGTTTTATATGTTTTGATCTTGGTGTTGCGAGACAGACACTTTGACTTTAGCAGATGTTGAAGGGCATAGTATACATTATTTCTAGATTGTATTCTAGATTGTATTTCTTTTCTCAGCATGTTGGAGCAGTTGAAGTTTGCACCCAAGTACTTATATGTTTCCGTTCTTTTGATTTTCATATTATCGACTTGGATGTGGCCGGAATTTTAATTCTTTCCGTGTCTACTTAGTTTTCGTACAGAATAGTAAACATTTAAAAACATTTTATTTTTTGCATCCTTCAGTTAGTCTGTGGTAACTAATAACTAGGAATGAAAGAATTCTAAGTATTATAACAAGTAACTAAACTTGGAAATGGTCACTGCATTAGCTTTCAACAAAACCAATCGTTCCATGTTGTCAGCCTTAAGGCTGTGTATGCAGAAGCGGGTGTAAGGTAACTACTATTCGTATTCGGCCTGACCGCAACTATTCGGCCAAATACCGAATAGTCAATAGGTCCACTATTCGGCTCCGAAGCGAATACGAAGCAAATATTCGGTACAGCCCTATTATAAACCACTGCTGCCGTTCAGGCTGGCTGCCACAGGCTATTGTCATGCCGTGAAGGCGTAGAGTGTCTTTAATATTGGCGGTCCTCTTGATTTGTGTCAGATCTTCTGAGATGCAGTGTTTGTGATGGTATCTGATCTTGCTGCATTCTAACGAAATGGTCAAACCACCTGATTTGCTGTTTCTAGATAAATCTAGTACAAGGAGTCGTTCCCACAATTTGTCTGATAGTATCGTTATTCACTCGATCTCGGATGGTTAGTTTTGGCAGCTTTTTTCTGGCACCTCGTCTCGTAGTGGCGATCTTGCGTACATGGTAGTGTTATAATCTGTTCACAGTTAGGTTACTGGCTTAGACAAAGAGAGCCCCACCGAGAGGTAAAAAAAAAACCCATCCCAGAATAGAAGCTTTATTCCAAAAATCTACTAAAAGCAACGATGAAATGAAGTAGGACAGGGTTTTCTGTACCGTGACACATTTTGTGCGAGCACCGTTTGCTCAAAGACATGCCTCTAACTAAAGCAAACATGTACAATTCACGAATTCTGCCATAGTGCACTCCAACTAAACACGAATTCTGTCATAGTACACTCAAATGAAACGCCAATTCTATACCAGTAAAGCATGCATGTATATTTATCCACGTTCATGAATACATAAGCCAGTTTTATATACACAAGAATACAAGCCCAGGCATATTAGCACCTTTGAAAACGTCACAGATAGATAACTTCTAATCTGCAGGTTCTCGCCACCTGCTCCTCAACCTAGTTCATACATTCCCTATCATATTTAAATTAATTACTGAATGATACGTTAGGTAAGTTTATTTTTTTTAAAATATGCATTATGCATGCTTCCTTTCTTCACCTCTTGGTCTACTGGAACTTGCTTAGTTCTTTCCCAAAGCTCTACATTTGTTATTCATACCATTCAATTCCGTCTATTCTTCGCAGGTACCATTCAATGAAGGTTTATAGTTTATTAGACGCTGGAGTTGAATAGGACACACGTTGAGAAAACCTGACAACATTATAACTATAATGTCTTTGCACTGGAACCCACAGGGGCATAGAAATAAAGGAAGACCACAAAGCACATGGAGAAGGGAGCTAGAGAGTGAAAAAAGATGGGGGGGGGGGCATGGAGAGAGCTGCATGCGAAAGCGAAGGACAGAACGACTTAGCGTGAGTTGGTTGAAGGCCTATGCTCCATTTGGGGGTGGGATTGGAGGGGGAGGGGAGGGGGTGTTAGTCAGACAGAAGAAGAAGACTACGCGTGCAGATGCAGTAAGTCAATGACCCATTTTGATAGCTCTAGGGCAGGCATAAAGTGGCAATACACATATTGTATATATCATTCAGCTCTAGGGCAGGCATAAAGTGGCAATACACATATTGTATATATCATTTAGCTCTAGAGGTCTAGATTACACAGGGCTTCTTTACTTCCCAGTATATTTTCTCGTACCTGTTTAACTTTAGGTGGATCTGGAGGAGTAGGCACATTTATAAACAATTCTCAAACCTCTATAGAGATTTGAACAATCCTTGTAGTACAAGTACATATATTGTATTTAATGTATTTAATGTTCATGTTTTTTTTTTCTTCTTCTTCGCGATCACTGGTTGTAAACTCCGGCGGAAATTTCTGGTTGTTTGTCAGAATCTGGACTTTAGTCTTGTTCCAGAACCTAAGTGTTTCCTGCACATCCGTTTAACAGATCTGACTTTATTGTTTGCAGATTGTTGGTTCCTTGTCTCTTAGGTAGATGCAGTCTGACTTTGAAAGAAGCCCCCCAATTAGTCGACTCTTACGACATGCTTGTTGCGGAGGCCTATACTTGTGTTTTTTTACCATGAGGCCCCGGAACCCACAAAGGGATAGTTAATGTTTAAAAACAATACCCAACCTCTATAGGAATTTGAACGATCCTTGTTGTATAAGTACATGTATTGCATTTAATGCTGAAAGATTAAAAGGGAAATACTCCGATGACGACTTCAAGTGGAAAAAACTCGACGACATTCAACCTGTTCATAAGAACTTTTGGTTATAATTGCGGTCCATGTTTCTTGCAGCTGTCAAACGATTTGAGGTTTTGTGTGTGTTACAAATAGCCTTTCCCGTGGGGAACATGTTTCAGTAACTGTATTGTACATAGTTTCCATAGTTATTCAGACATTTCATTGCACGTAATTTCAGCAAGTGCCATACAGTTACTTCTACATGATATCAATATAGTTCAAAGATTTCATTACAGTTTCCAAAATGTTTCAAAGATTTCAGCGTATGCAGTTTCCGAATTATTGCAGAGAATTTTGGTGATTATACAGGTCATTAAGCCCAAAGACCGGTATGTTTTAGATCCATTACTAATGCCTTCTAATTTCTTTGTTCCGTAATACAACCATATATGTCCCTATTTTCTTTTCTCATATTAGAAATTTTTAGATTCCACGTTGACCCTTACTGTTTATAAGTTTTGTTGTTTTGCCCGTTGAGTTTTCGTCTAATAGTTTGTGTTGTATTTAGTATTTCATTGATGAAGACTTTCGATACATTCTGTTGTGTTTGTAAGTGTCCTTCCCATTCTCTTGGTTTAGCCTCTTGTTACAGTTTTTGTTGTATTTAGTATGTATAAAAATACATTACCTGTTTTCAGTACGGCATATGTAAGAGGAAAATCATGGATGGCTCAGGCGGAGGACACGACCAGACAGGTTTGCACCCTGGAGAACATTAAG